TCAGTTAGCAGGGTTTGCTGCTCAAGAAAATATGGTCTTAACAAGTGTGAATGTTGCTCGTGACTTCGAGCCTTCTAAGAATGGCTCGCACTCTTACTCACATCATCATCGATCTCATCAGCCTGCGTATTCAGGTAGTAGATCTAGTGGGAGGAGTGTTTGTGCACATGGAAGGTCGTGAGTTCAGTGTCAGCTGTGTGGGAAACCATGTCATCTTGTTGACCGGTGCTGGCATCAGTATGATGAGAATTTTCATATTGTGTCTTCTAATACCAATCAATCCCAGTACACGAGTGACTCAGTCCGATCTAATAATGTATCTTATGATAATACTGACTGTGAATGTTGTTCGAGTAACTTTTGATCTCAGTCGGTGACAGAAGGTTCTTCTCGTGAGCATATATCTTCTGGAGCTATTCAATATGAATGGGTGGTGGATTCGGATGCCACTCATCATGTGACACCAAAGTTTGGTAATATCACTCATCGGGTGGAGCGTGGTGGTCCAGGTAAACTCACAGTTGGTAATGGTGTTTCTTTACATGTTGATATGATTAGTGATGCTACCTTAGTAACATTAACCAGTTCTTTGTTGCTAAATAATCTGCTTCATGTTCATAGAATAACGCATAATCTTCTCTCGGTGTCCAAGTTTGCTAGGGATAATGGTGTGTACTTTGAGTTTCATGCTCATGGATATTGTATTTGTGATGCTACTACTAACGACGTTCTACTGTGTGGTCGTGTTAAATATGGTTTATATGTTTTCTCAGAAGATCGAGTTCTAGGTGTTTGTAGAAATACTTCTGCACATTCAGCTATTTATATGTTTTCTCAGAAGATCGAGTTCCAGGTGCTTGTAAAAATACTTCTGCACATTCAGCTGTTGCTGTAAATAGTTTTAAACTTTAGCAACTCCTATTAGGACATGCAACGTATAGTACTGTTACTCATGTTTGTAAAACTCTTGATGTAATACTTTCTAAAGATATGAATAACATGTGTAAAGCTTGTTGCATTGATAAAAGCCATAAATTGCCTTTTGGTGATTCTACTATTGTTTATACTGCACTGTTTTAGCTTGTGTTCACTGACATTTAGGGGCTGACCCACGTGATGTCCAATGGTTATCGATACTATTTTTCATTTGTAGATGTTATTCTAAGCATTCTTTGGTGTACTTCTTAACATATAGATCACAAGCTGTTACTGATTTTGAACGATTTCTGCAAATGGTGTCGACTTAGTTTGGTGTGGCTGTAAAAGCTATTCAAAGTGATTGGGGTGGTGAGTATAGAAGTTTTTCTTCTGTTTTAGCTAAAGATTGTATCATCCACTGAGTAGCCTGCGCACATACTTCTGAATAGAATGGTGTAGTTGAGAGGAAACATAGACAAATTGTTGAGTTGGCTTTGGTGCTCTTGGCTCAGGCTGCAATGCCTCTGCGATTTTGGTATTATGTTGTTGTTATTATCGTATACATCATCAATCGTTTGCCAATAAAGGTGTTAGATGGGGTGTCTCATCATGAGAAATTTTGGGGAAAGAAGCCTGAATATGAACTGACGAGGGTGTTTGGATGCAAGAGTTATCCATATTTGTTAGAGTTTCAGAGACACAAGTTGTATTTCAGGTCTCAACCGTGTACGATTTTAGGATACAACCCACAACATAAAGGTTATATGTGCTTGAATACTAATGGAAGAATTTATATATCCAGGCATGTGGTCTTTGACGAGTCAGTTTTTTCCTTTGCAAACTTTATTGCTCCTTATGTAACATCTAGTGTTACAATTTCGAAATCAAGGTCTCTTGAGCTTATTACAGATGTTAGCAAATTTCAAACTGGTAGTGCTGATGTGGGTGTTGAGCATGTAACTGCTAGTTTGATGGAGGACTTAGTACATGAAGATGTGACAAGGATAGCTGAGGGTGAGTTCTCAAGTTTAAATATTGAGGTTGATCAGAATGGTACAGTTGATGGTGATGATGTTGAGCGATGTAGTGAATATCTAAGTGCACGTGTATGGATTTAGAGGTAAGAAGTGTTATTGAGACTACAGTGAATCATCATTCAATTCTTACGAGAAGTAGGTGTGGTATTTTCAAGCCCAAGGTGTATTCAGTTACCTATGACACAATGGAGCCTGTTAATGTGCATGAGGCTCTTCAGTCTCCACATTGGAAGAATATTGTGTATGCAGAACTTGAAGCCTTGAGGGAGAATGGTACGTGGTCACTTGTTCCATTGCCTGAAGGAAGGTCAGTGGTGGGCTACAAGTGGTTGTTCAAGTTGAAAAAGAACTCAGACGGTCCATAGCTGTAACAAGGGGCTAGCAGTTACGTCAGGTTGAAGTGAATATTGCTTTCTTGCTTAGAGACTTGCATGAAGATATATTCATGCAGCAGCTACCTGGGTTTGAGCAAAGGGCACCTGATGGCACTATGTTGGTGTGTAAACTTCAGAAGACCTTATATGGCTTGAGGCAGACACCTCGCAGATGGCATACAAAGTTAAAGCAGTGCTTGCTGCAAATAGGATTTAAATAATCCAAGGTAGATACTTCATTATTCATACGTTGTGTTCAAGGGATGTATGTGTATATGTTGGTTTATGTCGATGATATAGTGATAACATGTGAGTCAAATGCACATATTGAAGAAGTTGTGAAACTGTTGAGTGATGAGTTTTCTCTAAAGGATCTTGGTGAGCTTAGTTTTTTTCTTGGAATTGAGGTTAAACGGTGTGGTGAGGCGTTGATTCTTAGTTAATGAAAGTTTGTTTGGGAGTTTCTAATGAAGACTAAGATGTATACCACTCCAATGTTGGTGACATCGAGACTTACGTAGGATGTTGGTGAACTACTGTCTGATGCATATGAATATCGCAATATTGTAGGGGCACTTCTATATGCTTGCCATACATGTCCAAATATTTCATTTAGTGTTAACAAGGTGGCACAATACATGCATGCACCAAGTCAGGAGCATTTTGTAGCTGTTAAACGAATTTTAAGGTACTTGGTTGGTACACTTAACCATGGTCTTCTTATAACTCTAGCTGTGGCAGGTCTACATGTTGTGGCTTTTGCTGATGCTAAATGGGATGGCAATACGGATGATCGGAAGTCCATCACATGTAATTTTATTTTTGTTGGTGATAATCTGGTTATGTGGAGTTCGAAAAAGCAAAAGTATGTCTCTCGATCCACCATGGAGGCTGAATATAGGTGTGTTGTTGATGCTACTGGTGAAACAACATGGGAGAGTGCACTTCTTACAGATATAGGAGTCCAGCAGTCGAAGACTCCTGTGGTTTGGTGTGACAATAACAATACAGTTGTCATAACTGCAAATCCAGTTTATCATGCTAAAACAAAACATGTGGAGCTTGATGTTCATTTTGTACGAGAAAAAGTTACAACTAAGCATGTGTTAGTGAACTATGTTCCTGCTAGTCACCAAGTAGCTGATGGCTTGGCCAAGCCCTTATCAACAACACAATTTGAACTATTTCGTGCAAAGGTTATGTTCAGTCATTTCTCGGGGGAGAAGAAAAAAGTAGGGACAATGTTAAGTATAGCTGAGGTGCAGCTACTGTAATGGTGTGCTCGGGTGGTTGTAACTGGATTAGTTCTTGTTGTTAGCTAGCTGTTAAGTTTGTTAGTTTGTTACTTGGTGTTGTTAGTAGATAGCTTAGACTTGTAAGCTGTATAAAGTAGCATGTAAACTACTGTAAATGTATGCTTGAATGTACTTTTGAAAATTTACAAAGTTATTGGTTTCTCAACAACAACAATAATAATAATAATGATATTATTATTATTATTATTATTAGAGAGATTAAGTAAATAAATATAATGGAAAATAACAATAAAAAATTATGTATAATTTTTTTTATATGTTCAATGAAAAATCATACTCCATAAATAATAGAGTTAGTGTTGACCGGTAATATGGGATATCTCCTCCTGGTCACACGTTAGATATGTATAAATAAAGTATTTTTTTTAACTAAGCATAAAAAATTATATAATTTATCAGCTTTGTAAATCACATCATAAATTTTCTGTTTTATTCTTCCTTTAATTTCTTCACTTTTGGATTACATCTTTTAACGTGATTTTAATCCAAAATCTTGAGTTTTTAGGAAAGAAATTAAAGTGTTGGGTTTTTACTATCAACATTTTTAAATGTAGAACAAGCAAATAGATAATTATTAATGTAAACATTTAATTAATGATATTTTAAAGTGATTCTAATTTATCAGCCCTTGAAACTCCATCATGTCGAAGGTCACCAAAGAACCGACCAGAGAAGTCTCTTTGCAGAAGGGTAAGAATTTGCTTTCCTTTTTGCTTCCTTTTTTAAAAATATATATTTGTAGATAAGTAATGTCTGGGTAGTAAAATAATAGCTATTATTATATAAGTGTAATAGTATTATTCGAAATTATTATTATCATAAATAATATTGTGAAATAAAATTATATCTAAAATAATAAATCGTAATTATAATTTAACAAGTAACGATTAGTTATAATAATTGCGGAGTATTACTCAATAATTTTTTAAAATATAATATTATTATTAATTCATAACTATTATGTTTTACGATAAATTACATAAATTTTAAAAAATTCACAATACCTATAGTAACTATAACATCTGTTGTGCGCTCGACAGACGCAACCTCAATGAAATTTAAATTCCTGGTTTCAAATGAAAAAACTATATAATATTTTGAAGTTTCAGTGGTTTTATGGCTTAGTTTTTTTTTTTTTTCCATTTGGTTTTCATAGGCATGGTGACAGCGGCAGCAGCTCCCGCGACCACCATTAATAAAGACAAAGAGGATAAAGAGAAAGATCCAACCCAGCCTTACTATGAAGTCAAGCTCTACAATCGATGGAGCTTCGAGAATCTTCAAGTTTTTATTTTTTAAATTTTTTTGTACTGTCAACCTTACTACGAACTCGTTGATGATGCACGGTCGAAACAATGAGAAGAAACTCATGGCAGATAGGATCGTGAAGCATGCCATGGATTATTTACCTCTTGACTGATCAGAACCCAATTCAAGTCATTGTCGATGCCATTGTTAACAGGTATGCACTCAAATTACCTTGTTTCAAGTATTTGATTATTATTATTGATAAAGCTTTATTGTTTTCTGGTTGATGTAGCCAGCGAACTTCGTGAAGACGCTACTCATATCGGTTCCGCCGGTGCTGTAAGACGGCTGGTCGTCGATATTTCTCCTCTTCGTAGTTTGAATCAGGACATCTATCTGCTAACAATCGGTTCCCGTGAGTCTGCATTCAGAAACATTAAAACCATCACCGAATGTTTAGCCGATGAGCGTATTAACACTGCAAAGGGATCATCCAACAGGTAAATAAACGAAGTTCTCTTTTTTTCCTTTGAAAGTAGTTAGTGTTTTTGTCAGGATATATAGAGGGGAGTGATGGGCAGTCTGTTCAAAAATTTTCAAATTTATTTATTTTTAATTTTTTATAATTTTTTATATTACCAATCTGTTTTCGTTATTAAAATTTTATAAATTTATTATTCTTTAAAATTTTATAAATTTATCTTCTTTTAAAATTTTATTAATTCACCGATTTTAATATAAAATCGGCGTATTTCTAACATTTGTCATGGGTCTTTTATACTAATTTATTGTGATCTTCGTAGATATGTGTAACTATGTGATAACTCCGTAAAATGTCACATTTTGAAACCTTTTCACTTAAGTTATTGAGTGTCTAATAGCTCATTTAGGACTATGTAGATGCATTTAGTTGCATGTGGTGGAATTCAGTTTGCCGCATCATTTTATTTTTAAAGCGGTGATGCCTTATGGGAAAGCTGTTTGTCTGATGATGTGCAGGAATTGAAAGCAAGGGAAAAGAGGAAAGGAAATGTCGTGACATAAGGAGATTGCTGAGCAAAATGCAATTGCCAAGTTCTACTGGCATTTCGAAAGCGCTTTAAGTGCGAGAAGATATTTTTGAAGCCAAGTGTCTTCGACTTCCCGAGAGCTCTGCCCGAGAAATCCACCTCGAAGATCCGCCTGGAGGGATCGGCACTGCAACCGCCGGTCCTACTGATGACGCCGCCTGACCCTTCAGATCCTGTCTGTCCTTGGGCGCCTGCAACGGGACTATGCAGGTCACTCAACCAGCTTCCCAGGTTGTATCATATCCTGTCCTGCCCGACTCCCATGCAAATTAACCATGGTTTTGGGGTTTTCTAGGAAAGTTAACACCAAGTCATAGGATTAGTTTTCCCCTATAAATAGAGGATGAAGCCACATTGTTGAAGACTTTGGTTCCACCCAGATTTGAGCTTAAAAATTTAGAGAGAGAATGTCTCATCTTTCTCTGTCAATCCTACTTGCCGTGGCATTTCTCCTTGACAAGCCTGAGGGAGTAGCGTCCAAGAGGAGCTAGTTCGCTGGGAGCAGTTCTTGGTGGCCGAGTGAAGCATTGGGCAGTGCACGTCGAAGGCTTTCTCTCATCCTCTTAGTTCTTTGCTTTCATATTTAGTTATTTGGTTGTAAGGAATGGATGAAACTTGCTTTGTGCTTGTTTATTTCGAACCCCACCATGAACTAATCCTATTTGGTGGGAGTTCACTTAGATGTTAAAGTTTTTATTTCAAAGAATGGTTGTTTTTCTATGCTTTAACTTGTTTTGTTTATGAAACTTAATGCCTTAAGGTTGTAGGAGCTACGAGAGTAGCCTTTCCTTAGGAGGTTTTTAGGGTTTGAGAGAATACCTTGGCTAAATATCCTTAGTATTCGAGAGAAACTAGGGAGAACTACATAAACAAGGGGTTCTAGGTAGTAACTAGGCCTGATACACCTTAGAGATAAGGTTAGGATTTCATTCGACTAAAAGGAGTTGTGTAAGAACGATATGTTAGATGTTAATGTTGCCGCAAAAAGGTATTACCGAGACATATCCTGTTATCTGAACCAATAGGATCACTGCAGGGGTTTACGCCAATCGATTTTACCAGGGCGTCTTTAATCTGTTGAGTCCCTTACTAGAGATAGCATAGGGTTCCTTAGTAGACTCTGTCGGGCAGGCTAGGCATAAAAGAAATACCATTCAGAGAAATAGACTTAGATTTTCCCAGTGACTCCTATCACTCATTCCCATAGCAGCTTGTCGTGTGAGAAAGCTAAAGTCCTATAAATCAAATCGTATATTTACATTTTATTTTGCTTTGTCATTTCCATTTGTTTGCACTCAACACAATTAAATTTGCCACGACATATCCATTTGCTACCACATTACCATCATTCTATTTCCACATCAGTCATTCTATTTTGCCACATCGTTATTATTTCTACATACCATCACTAACTTTACTTAGGTGACAAAGTAAAGTGCCTTGACAAACCTATTTGATTTCCCCAATTCCCTGTGGAAACGATACTCAACTTATCACTGTATTACTTGTTTGATTGTGTATACTTGCACATATATCCGCACTCATTTATAGTACTCATTCCAAGCAGACAAGTTTTTGGCGTCGTTGCCGGGGAATTGGCAATTGAAAGTTAAATTGTTTTGTCATAGAATTTTTATTTTACTTGTTTATATTTCTTTTATATAGTTTTACCCTTTATTTTTATTATCTTCTTCAGGATTTCGTGCTGTATGACCAAAAGTAACCCTGACGAGCCATTAGAACCGGTTGGACCTGAGATCGAGAGGCTCTTTAGGAGAAAAAGACGTGCTCAACGTGAAAATATGAACCAAATTGGAAATCCAAGCATTGGTCATGAGGATGATCAAAATGCTGAGGCAAATCCATTTGCTGGGAATGCACCCAGGCCTCGTGTCATTCGTGATCACTTAAACCCGATTTTAGACGATTTAAATCCTGGAATTGTGGCACCAGAGATTCAGACAACCCACTTCGAGCTCAAACCGGTCATGTTCAATATGTTGAACTCCATAGGGTAATTTGGGGGAATGCCAAATGAAGATGCCATGCAGCATATTCGTAACTTCTTGGAGGTGTGCGATTCTTTTCGCCAATAAGGAATGCATGAAGATGTTCTAAAATTAAAGTTATTCCCATATTCTCTGCGTGACTGAGCAAGGGCGTAGTTGAGTGGCGTTCCAGCGGGTTCAATGGAGTCGTGAACTGATATGTGCAAAAAAAAATTTGCTGTTGTATAATCCTCCGAACATGAACACCCAACTGAGGAACGACATTGCTTCTTTTTGTCAAGATGATGACGAGTCGATGTATGAGTGTTGGGATCGATACAAGGCATTGCTTTACAAGTGCTCAAATCATAGTTTTCAAGATTAGACACAAGTGGTGATGTTCTACAATGGAGTAAACGCACCCACAAGGATGATGCTAGATGTCTCGGTAAATGAGACGTTACTTAACAAATCACCAGCATAGGTATTTGGCATTCTGGATAAGATTTCCACCAATGATTATCCGTTTCCATCCACAAGGCTTGGAGTTTGGCGTAAATCACCTGGAGCTTTTGAGCTAGATTCTAACGATTCGATGTCCGCCTAACTTGTTGATATCACCAATATATTGAAAAATTTGCAAAGGCCAAGTGAGGTTGATGAGTGTTCAAAATCGTTAATCTTTGCTCGTTATTTATTCAGTTTTGAGGAATTATTACTGCTAAATTGGTCATGTTATGTTTATTTTCGTGCAGGTCCTTATTTTCTGGAATTAGTGACAAAACGGGCGCATTCTGCATTTTTTTATTATTTGGTCACGGCTGGAGACATGGGCACAACTCTGAGCATGACACGGTCTGATGTGGCAGTTTATAGAAGGTCCAGTCAGCGACAGTTTCTAGAAGACTTCTTCTGCACGCCTCCTGGAAGATTGACGAGCAGAGTTGCATTAGGAGACTAGTTTAAGTTTGAATTTAAGTTAAAAAACAATTATCTTTAGGATTATTTTATTTGTTTTCTTTGTTTATCCTTTAGGCTTTGAGAGGCTATAAATACCCACTTGGGGTAATCCTAAACTCATCATTCAGATTACATTCTTCTTTTCTCTTTAGTTTTTATAAAAGTTTTCTCTTTTTACTTTTCAAGTTCTTTTCATTTTTCTTTTATTTTTCAAGCTTTGTTTTCAAAATGCAAAGTATGACTTTTGTCGTGCTTAGCTAATCTTTTCATAAGTCAAGAGCTGTCGAGATGACTCAATTCCATCAGGAGAATTGAAACAGACCCTTCATATCTTCGGAATATCTCTCTCAATCTCTGCGCTTATTTTTCAAAATCAAAATAGTTTTCAAAATCAAAGATTAACTTTGGTCAAGTGGTTGTTGCGATTAAATGTATGGGAGGAAGATTCGGCTTATAGAAAGCAATTCGACTTCCTGGGAAGACACTTGGCGAGATAGCTTTGCCAAGAGGGAATTGAGATCGAAATTGACGGTTATCGAAGCAACAATCTGAGTCGGACGCCACGAACTTAAATGGTAATTGATCTACGACAATTGATGTTGTTAGAATAAATTACCGAAGCCGGAATCAAAGATTACCTTGGGTATTCTGTATACAAGATAGAGTCACGGAGATAGCCCTTGTAGACAAAGTAACGACGTGAATCTCGAAGAGAAAATCTTATTCGATGATCTAAAGGAAATTGAGTCAAAGCGAAGCTTGAGGCTACTTTTACCGTATTTATTCACAATCTTCATATTCTTATTTTTACTTTAATTGCTTTTACTTATTTAATCGCTTTTATTATTTTAATATTTTCTTACCAAAATCCCCCCATTTTTACTGTTTCATGCCTGGCATAAATAAATCAGACATAAATTTATAATTTTCTAAGTCCCAGTGGAATCGACCTTTACTTCTCTTTACTATGTATTTCCTTTATTTATTGATTGAGAATAAGGAATTTATTTTGACATCGAAACGACAATTGTCAAATTGGCGCCGTTGCCGGGGACTTCACCAAAGTTACTAATTTTTGTTTGCTTTTGATTTATGACCAGGTCTAATCCGGGAGCAATAGTGGAGTACGACCCGGAGATTGAAGCCAAAGCTAGGAGACTCAACGCACAACACTTCAGGAAAGAAGGAGACAACAAACAAATCCAGAAGAAGAATCAAATTCAGGTAATATAAATCCGATGGCCGATCTTACTATTCGGGAGTTAGTCGCGACTCCTATTGAGCAAGGGTTATGTGCATTGATTTTCCCCAAGGCGAAACTTTGTACCAGTTGAAAACCGATCTTATTCATCTCCTCCTTACATTCCGCGGATTGTCAAATAAGGATCCACACAAATATCTCAAGGAATTTCAAATTGTCTGCTCCAGCATGAGACCACAGGGAGTAACCGAGGACCAAATAAAACTTAGAACTTTTCCTTT